CGCTTTCTCTCTTTCACTCTTTCACTTTTTCTGATTTTCTCTTTCCACCTTGGTATATTCATTAAATTAAAAAAAAAGTATTTTTATTAAATTTTTTAACGAATATCATCAATATAATAAATATTGTTATTGTATTAATTCTATTCTTTATATGCAAAATTTTTAAATGAAGTATTAATTATTACTTAAAAGTGTTTAAACATATTATTTAAACAGAAGTATTCTATTAACTTTGTATTCTATATAATTATTTGTGAAAAGTTTGTTCCTTTATTTTCTAATTTATTTCCTAATTTAAATAAATTAATAATATATTGTGCTTATATATAGTGAGGCTAATTTAAACACGTAAATTACCAAATAATTAGGTCGTAAGTTACATTTTACTGTCAAAGATGTTTTGTGTAAAACTAAAATTACTATTTTTGTATACTATTTCGTGCACTTTTATCATAACTGTGATGACAGATCGAGATTTGAATGTAAAAATGAAATAAATAGAATAGTCAAGAATTTGGTAAAACTAAAGTCTACTAGTCTACATTTTTTTATTACACAAGATGCAGGAAAGCAGCTGTATAATTAGATTTTGTGCGAATTTGAAGCGTGAAAAGTGAAAGAAGCAGACTGTTACAAAGTATAAAAAAATGTTTGAAGAGAATACGAAATCAGAAATTTCTCAATAAATAAATGAATAATAATCTAATATTAATATGTATATAGAAAATTTAATATATTTATATTATTATGGAAATCATATTTTATCATTAATAAAAAATAATATCAAATATATATATATATATATATGGCTTTTGTTCATAAAATATTTATAATTTAAAAATTATAGAAATAAAATCTATTCGTACAATTTAAATGGCAAAAATGGAAAAAGAAATATATTTTTAGCAATTAAGACTGTAAATTAAACTATGTAATCATATATTTAATAATGAAATAATTTTTGGTATGTGATTACGATTGGTAAGATTAATTGGAAGATCTATAATTTCGTTTTCTTTATAGATGCGAGGGTGAACTAGTGAAGGTTAGTCGTCCATTTGCGTGCTACGGCGCGAGTCTACGTACAAGCGATTTTCAATTCCCTTCGCGATCTTTTACTTCTCACTCTTTTATTTACATTGCTTCTTTTTTTTTTATTCGTGCGTCTATATTAAATTGTAATTTTAAAAAAAAAAAAAAAAAATTCTATCATCGCTTCATTTTAATAACTACAATCTGAATTAAAGTTGTCTACATTTTGAACATTTCAATTAATTAAAATAATATCGATATTTTAATGAAATAAAATATCTCAATTTTGTTTTATGTTTGTTCGAAATATTTATGAAATATTTTTCAAATTTTTGTAGTATTAGAAGTACTTTTGAAACACTATGAAAACAAGACAAAATTATTCATCAATTATTTATTAATTTTTCCTCTTACTACGATTATACATTTAATACAGTAGATTGCCATTCTCTTCATGTTTCTTAATAAATATTCATATAATTATAAACTAATGATAAATTTAATAATTTCTATAAGTGTTTCAAATAATTTCTCAATGTTACACGAAGAAGAAAAAAAGCGACGGAGCGAAATGTATTTATAAAAGAAAGAGGTGCTCAAGATCGTTCACGAGGATAAATCGATAACCGGCTCTGGCTGTTTTCAATTCATTTTTTTTATTCACTTCCCCGTGCGTCACTTACTCTCGAGCTTGTCACAGTTGGTGACCTTGCCCTTCCAGTCGCAGGTCTGTTTGTCCAAATCAAAGGCCAATCCACTCGGGCACGTGATTTGCTTCAGTCCGGACCTTGTGCACCTGGGGGGCAAACATGCAACGGGCAAAATCTTTATAATGAAACGAAATTCATCTGATGCAAATTTGATTGCATTTGTCTCTCAAATTAAAATTATCGCTCGTGTCACTTGTCGCAGCATTTAGTCAGCGCTTACTCTCGAGCTGCTCGCAGTTCTTCACATTGGTCTTCCAGTCGCAGGTTTGGCGCTCGATGTCGAAGGCCAGGCCAGTCGGACACTTGACTGTCGCAAGCCTCGTCACACCAATCTCCGTCGCTTTGTCACACCTAAACGTACATTTTTAATTTTTCTCGTCCATTAGCTTCTTACACTACGTCAATTTGTATTCTCTATGTTTGTTTCTATGGGTTATTTCTTATTTCACGAGCTCACGATGTTTATGACGTTATGTGATTGGATTATTGAAATTATTGAGTTTTGCTATTTACATGTCATTTAAAACGGGATTCAACGCAATGCAGCTTATTAAATATAATTTAATTTTTATCCTTTTAAAATAGTAATTTCAAATATTTATATTATCATTACTCTACATGACACTCATCGTAGTACTTCCTCTGTTACTTATTCTTTGCAATATCCGGTCATAAATTCTGAAGTATTGAACGTATCACTTCAATACAATGTACGTGTTTTTCTTCATCGGCTAATGAACTTCTGGGTTAAGTGATTGTAATATTAAGAAGTTTGATAATCTTATGATTATTTAACAATCTCATGTTATTTGCTTAAAAAAATTCATACCGCTAAAATGTATTTAATTATTTAATATTTTATAGGCATTAGTAATATTTAATTTATGAATTGTATCGAAACATTGTTAAAATTTATTATAATATAATTATATCATCGATACATAAGTGTATTGTACGTAGCCGTAAATAGATATTATTACTTTACAATTGATGCGGATAAATTATAGTTTTGAATTATTTTTGTAATTATATCACGAATTTATTTCATCATAATACTTAACTTATGTAATTACAAATAATATTATTTGATTCTTTTACTTTAAAAGATTTATATCCATCCATTTGCAACTAACTACTATATAATATATAATATAATAATAAAATTATTCGTAATCTTTATTAACGATACATTTGAAATAATATAATGTTATTATATAAAAACTTGGAATTGAAATGTTCAAAGGTAGTTCAAAATTTATTACATAAATGTTAAAATTTCGTTATTAAATCTAATTTAATGTGTAAAAGATCTGTGACTTAAAAAAATGCTTTTCATTATTTAATTATAATGGGAATATTGTTTTAATTAGCTATTTAAAATTAAAATATTTTCAAGTTTATGATTACTGGTTTCTTTAGCTTCTTAAAATGCAAAAGCTATTATTTATTTTCTAACATATACTTTGTGAAATAAAATGAATGAGTCAATCATTCATTATACATAGGTATGTGTTTATATGAGAATTTTTTTATTTGAAAATTTTTTATCAGACTTATCTTAACAATATAAATTAACTTTTTTTTTTTAATAAATGTTTTACATGCGACTCTTATTTATTTAATATTTCCTCTTCAAAAGAAAATAATATTATATACTATATTATGATTATATTCTAATTTTGGATTAGTCAAATAAAGATTCAATTTTTTCAGAATAATTTAATCTAAAGTTTGGAAAAGCTAATCATTTAGAATAATGGATCAACAAGCGTCACTTGATAACTACAACTTTTACTCGAGACTCACGACGCGATTCCTTGCTCGCCTTTTATGAATCGATGTACACACATGTGTGCAAGGCTCCTTTACGGCAACATCAACGCGTCGACGTGATCCTTTCTCTCAGGCAAAGATACCAAAAACCTGTTCGCGGTTTTCAGCCTACGCGGAGAAACGAAAGTATTTCATTTTTCTTTATCGCTCTTATGTTTGATCTCATGTTCTTTCTTCGGATTTTCCTCATTAAAATGACAAGTGTTGTGCAGAAGGTTCGAAATTCTTTGTTTGATTCAATATTGCAGTTTCTTTTATTGGGATAAAGCAAAAAAACCGATACCGCTTATTGATAACAGCGAGTGAAAGCTTCCAACAGTTTTGTATGATATTAGGAGAATGATTTCAATTGGATTGCTTGTATTATTAATTAAATTCTGATGTGTTTGTTTTCTTTAAAATTTTCGTTGATTTGTGAGACCGAGAAAGCAAAAAAATCTTAAAGTATTAATGACTTTACATCATAATGACTTTCAAAACTCATACTTGATGCGTTGTTAATGGATTAAAGTGAAATTCCCTCTTAATGAAGCTAACTTTCTTTTATATATAATATTTATTCTGTTATTTTAAGTATACTGAAGATTGATTGGATTTTCATTTTGAAATTTTTGAAACGCTCGTTCGACTATCGTAGATTAAACTAAACCGAAACTGTCTTGTTATTTTATTGATCTGAAATATTAAGTTTTTAAAAAATTTATTTCAGTTTTTAATTACTGAAGTACCGTTTTCTCTTCTTTTATTTATTTATTTTTTGTTTTAAACAAGAGTCATAATTTAAATATATAAGATAGAATTATGAATTGGTGGTACTTTAAAGTGAAATCCCGATTTAAATAGGTCGACTTTCATTGGTCTGTCGACTGACTTACATTATTAGAAAAGTACTACAATATTAGTTTAAAGTAACGAATAAGATAAATAAATCAGATAGAAAAATTATATTTACATGTAAAATAATTGAAACGAATGATTATAATTAAAAGAAGATTTTACATAAATTAAGAAAGGTAGATAATACATTATTATTAAAAGCGATAATAACTGTAAACTTAGATACTTTTAAGTGTAAATACTTTCTCATACGTGAAAGATTAACATAAACTTGATGCTTAATATTTACCTCACAACATCACGACAATCTCCTTCTGTACTTAGTCGAAAATATTCATCTCCAGGTCTATCCTGGCATAGTTCTTCTGCATTTGCGTCGATTCCATCGCTTCCTTCGTCATCTTGTGCTTTTGCAGTCACTGTAATATATTTGAAACATTAAAGGCTATTTCTTGCTTTGAGTAAATCGTTGTTAATATCATGAAATGATTTATATAAATAATAAAGAATGATTCTTTCATTTTTCATTTTAATAATATGTATTAAAAAGACAGTATAGAATTGAATTTGAAAAACGTATAGAGTTAAAAACAGTTGTTGTTTCTAATAATTTATGTTATAATATCAATTTAGAACTTTATGGATTTTATAGATTGTACAGATAAAACTGCAGTACTATTATTTTTATTATTTTGTCAGGATTTAATATTGTAAAATACTATTTTAACAATTTAGTTTTTATTTAATTATATGGTTTCGAAAATTTGATTAGTAAATTCTTTTAATCAAACAAAATGATTTTAAGTTTTTGATATTTTTAGTTTAAATTGTAATTTTTGTGTATTTCTATATTTGTATAATAATAAATTTTATATTTGGGAATTTTTTTTATCAATTTATTCATAATACTGTTATGAATATAGAAATATTAATATTAAATTCATCGTATTATTTTCTTTAAAAAGCCGAAAAATGTTTCATTTTTACATCACAGTATTATATAATAAAAAAATATAAACAGGACAATGCATTTAGAAATTATGTTTTATCTTTCCAATGAAAATTTTTAAAATGTTGAAATAGGATTATTACGTCATAGAGGCGATTGAAAATAAAGATTTAAGGTAGAATTTAGCGTGATTAATTTAGATAGAAATAATTTATAATGATAGAAGATTTTTCATCAATCAATATCATAATTTTATAATGTTTAGATTGAATATTTTATTATACATTTTTCTATCTAAAAATTTATGTATTTACTTTTTAATAGAATATTAAAATTATAATACGATAGTGATTCATTGTTTGAAAATTACTATATTTATTTATAGGAGTTAATTTCATTTTGCTAGCAAAATAAATATTAAATTTCATTATTTTAATAGTTATTATTAAAAAAAAGAGCAATATATGAAAGTAATATCTTATAAAAATGAATTATTCTTAAAATATTTTAATCAAATGATTATTAATATCTGTCTAACTTAGAAATTTACTCTACACAATTATTCATGTTATAATATCTGCAAAGTCGTCTATAGTAATAATTATATTAGTCGTCTTTTTTGAAATTTGCTATATTTAAGATTGTACGTCGTCTTAAAAAATTGTTTCATACGAGACGGTACGAAGTTAAAATTTTTATTCTCGCTTTCAATATAATATGGGAGCTGAACCGGACTAATACTGGTTTTTCGATGTGGTACCAGTATTTCGTTGGACTGCTAATTTATCAAACACGCTCTCACCAATCTTGAATCACCTTTGGATTCCTTACGTGTGCCACAATTTATGCAGATCGTAGTTGGGAAAAGTTTGGCGAGCTTTTCAGAGAGACAAAAGGAACGGCGTCGAGGTAGGGGTCATCGAACTCTCAGTCAGCACAGTAGAAGTAGAAAGTCGTATCGCAAAATGTCAGGGCGAGAGCTCGGGTAAGCGAAAGCCACGGCGTGCATGTACATATGCAGTTTTCCACTTCGAGTAGGATACCGATCGATGGATGAGCTCCCGTGAGCTTTATTCTTCGTCGAAAGGAACAAGGAATAAAGAAGTTTTCACAATATTGTCTACATGAGTCATTTTTGAATTCGTGCGAAATCCTTGGCGATGAATCCTACGTGAATACATGAATATCAATGAGTATGCGATCGGTAAATGTATTGCTCAAGCGCGTGGCTCATCCTGTTTTCAATCGAGGGAATCGTGGGCAATGAGACGAGGCAATCCCAGAAATCTTAGCGATTAAATTACTTATTTCGTATTAAGCCTCATACACGATTTTCAATACCGGTTTTTCGGATGATATTGAATAATGTTGAATGTCTAAAGGATTTATGATTATCATACTCTTTCATTTTGTATAAGTATCAATAGTTTTGAAATTACATATATATATATATATATATATATATATATATATACATACATACCCACGTGACTATAATTTAATGAATTTTATAATGTAATTCATAATTTAATAAGTTAATTCTAAACGGCAAATGTATAATCATCCTGTATAATCTTAATTTAAAAGTCTAGTAGAGGAAACAACGTTACCCAAGTATAATATTAAATAAAATATTAGATAATGCGATAGAATTGAATGTTTGAAATGAAAAGTGGTAATTTTCGAATGTAGAAAGTACTATTTAGCAAGTAAAATTATTTTTCTTTCAAATGACCTATATCGATTGCATTAAATAAGTAAGCGATAAGTTTAATACTTAATAATTCTAATATTCGTGTATTAAACAAACCATACAATTTAATTTCATTAATCATCATATTCAAGATAATATTAAGCAAGATAAAATAAATCCAAATTACTTATAGAAGAACCAAGAAGTAACTATTACATACGAAACTTTCAATTTTGAATTTTTTTTAAGCGTCTTAAAATGAAAGTAACAGTGACCTACTGTACGAAAACAAAGAATTTGAGTGTGTGGGGGTGGGATGGGATGGGGCGGGGGAGACGAGGTATAATCAAAGAGTAAAAATAATAATTTCTTTAATTTATCATAAATTTTTGATTGCTTTTTCATTGAACAAGCGTATACGATTTTCAACAACATCATCCTTCTCTCTCTCTCTCTCTCTCTCTCTCTCTCTCTCTCTCTCCTTGTCTCTCTTTCTTATAATGCCAACAAAAACAACATTAAGAAGATGAACAATAACATAAAAATGTGTACTTACCGGCAAGTAACAGCAGGCAGATCGTTGTCAGGTAGGCAAACTTAAGCGACATGATCGTCGTCGTTCACCGGTCGAAAAGCGTCTGAAACAAGCCGCGCCCTCTCGATCCCTCTATATGCATACCACCACTCCTTAGCCTTATCTGGTCAAGCACCATACACAAATCCTCGTGCCAGGTGTCACTTTCACCGGTCAGGCTTCTTCCGTCTACTGCTGCCCTCTAGTGATTAGGACAGCTGCATTAAGTCGGAGCTTATTGCTTTCGCTTGCATTGTGCTAGTTGTGTAGGAAGACCGACAGCACCATTCGACACGCAAACATTCTACATTTGGCGGTGTACTTTGGGCAGCAATATTTTGCAATCCATTTCGATATATTGACTTTTTGTATAGTATATTTTTGTAGTTAAAATTAGATTACTTTCATCGGTTTTAGCTTATTAATCTTTATTATTTTCATAAATTAACAGTGACGTATGGATTGCTGTGTTCCCGTTTTCATGAATAGTACATTTTTTTTTTTTTTTTTTTTTTTTTTTTTTTTTTTAATCTCTAGCAGTGAGATCTTTCGTTGTAGGTGATAGATAATTTTTAGCATATTGACTTGTCATGTTTTCTCTGACACCAAATATTCGCATAGAAAATTGGAAATATTTGAACTTTTCCAAACTACAACATATCGATATTCTATATAGATAATTTTAATAAATACAATTAAGTTTTTACAATCTGTTATAAATAAGATTTATTTATTATAATTTTAATCAACTAATATATGAAATTTAGTATTAAAAATAAATTTTCAATAATTTGGCATCTGCTGACAGTAGGGTATTTATATGAAAAAACTTAAAATTCATTATTATTTTTCATTAAAATAATTCTGCTGTTAATTTAAGCTTTCATTAATGTTTCTCATACTGTATTATATATTTATTTTGAATAATATTAATTATATATAAATGTAACGCACTTTGACTATGTTTTATTTTACGTTATTTAACATTAATTTAATATTATAACGAACTATTTTAATTGATATAAATTTGTTATTAAAAATTATATTTAAAAAGAAACTGTAAATATCTGTTACGCATGAATTTTCATCATAAAAGTAATAATATTTTATTTACTTTTGTTTATGTATTCCAATCTAATCTTAAGATTTTATAGAATATTTAATCACTGTGTTAATTTTCAATTTATTTGTTCGATTATTTAATTAATTCTGTTTTCATTATTTTATTTTTATTTAAAATACATTAATATTGTTAAATTTTCGTTCCTATATTAACAAAAAAAAAAAAAAAACATTATCTTGCAAAATAATAAATTAATTAAATAAATAGAATCTTTTTATTTTTGGCACATCTGTTCTTCAATTGTTTTAATTAGTCATATGTGTTTGTAATTGTTTTTTAATTTTATCGAATGAGTTTTCTTTATAACTGCAACATATTAATACTTTATCCTCACTTAATTATAAATTATTTTAAAGATTAGATTTTACTCGAGCATCTATCAATATCATAGCCATAATTAACTGAGTATTATGGCGTTAAAAATGTTATTAACACCGATTTATAAAATCTTTCGTTGTGTTTAATATTTATACAATAAATATACTCACGCCTAATAACACACAGACACTTATGTAATATATTATACATATATACTTGCTAAATAACTTATTATTTGCACATACATTAACGACTACATATACGTATATGTGTATCTACGTATTAGTTTATTGACATACAAATAATTATTCCAATACTTATATAATTTATAATTTTACTTTAATTTAATTTAATAATTTATTATAAACATTAAAATATGTATAAAAAATATTTGTTCAAGAAAATCATTTGATATAGAAGGTTGTTTAATAAAGTTGTTAATAATTAGTAATCTTTTATTATGTAACTATAATTTTGTATATGTTTAGTTTCACCAAATTAGTTTCTAAATGGTTTTTAATTTAAATATATATACTTGTAGAATATATGTAGAATCTATTTCAATATCATTTATATTTTCAGAGGTTCTTTTATCTACGGTAATTTTAGTAAGTAAAATGTTTATAAATAAAACACGTAATTTTTTATTTTTTATAATATAATTAAATTTAAATATTATGTAAACAGTTAAGTGCAATATTATATAAATTGATACTATGAAATGATTAAGATACATTCAGATTATTATTAATATTATTATTTTTCGTAATATTAAATTATTATTATTAGTAAAAAGTCTTCAAAGGAAATTCAATTATTATTTTATTACAGAAAAAATTATTAAGTTTTCATGGATGTAATGAGAAATAATTAATAATTAAAAATAGAAACATTTAGATATATTCTTAAATTATAATTTGTTTGGGTAATTAAATAAATTAAGTAGTATATACATAGATGATAGAAATTTTTGTATTGAGTAATTAGAATGACATCGAAATTTTTAATAATTATATATAATAGATATAATTATTATAATTAGGAAATTCGATCGTATGACTAATTTGAGTTTCTATACAATTTTTATTAATGTATTTTATTTAGTCTGTTGTATGTACTAATTAATCATTTGAATAAAGTAAATATATGAGTAATAAATATAATAACGGTGATGTAAAAGTGTTCAATATAATCAGAAAAGATAATTTTACAGATATTTATTAATGAGTGATAAATTTGTTGATTGATTCAATATTTAAACAAAAAAAAAATATATATATATATAAATATGTGTGTGTGTGTGTATTTGCGTGAACGATCGTACGTGCGTGCATGCTTGAAGCAATCCATCTAGCATAATAATTAAGTTGCTTAATATATTTGAAGTAAATATATTTGTATACAAGTATTTATGTAAAATTTATGTAATTTTGTTTATTTGCAAAGAATGTATGGTGTCGAAATAATTCGGGATTTGTGGCGAGCAATTCATTGTCCATATAGATATTTTTCAATATGTAATATCTATGGCTATATAAATGGCGTTATGAGCAGTTAATAAAGCAGCTGATGAAATAACGAAAGGTGAAAAAAGATTTTTAAAAGAAAAAAATAGGATTTAACGTATGACAAAATTCGGAGTTTGTGTTTAGATTTTATTATTAAATGTAATTATAAAGTGAGTTTGTAATGACTAACGTGAATATTGAATGATAAATGTGATAAATAACCTTTTAACATATTAAAGGATTTTCAAAGAAGTTTGATATGTAGAAAATTATTATAAATTAAATGATAATAATTTAATACATTTATTAATTAAACATATATATTTTTCTATATATTTTTTTTAAATTGATGATATTTAAAAATCTGATCGTTTAACAATGATAATTATTTGTATATTCAAGGTAATTAATTATTGATACGCTATTGAAAAAAAAAGAATACATTAATAATTGTGAGAAATGAATTATACGATGAGTTAATGAACACATATTTTTTTACTCTTAAATTCAATTAGATGTATTATTTCACTTTATTAGAAGCATATTGTCTTTGTTTCTATAAATATAGTATTCATATAATTATAAATAAATATATATATATATATATATATATATATATATAGTATTAAAATTTATAATTATTGTTCTATATTTAGATATATTTTTTAATATATTTCTTTCCTGTACAGTGACAATACGAACAAATTAGTAAGAAAAAATCTCAATAAATTTGCTTGCCAAGTATTATTAATGACAATTGCGTGTAAATTCAATATACTGATCTGATAGGAAGTACATTTGACAAACATTATATTAGCAACAAACGTTACTAATTAAACAATTAAGACTTAAGTGGTAACGACCGAGTACATACGAAATAAGTAGATATTCACAAAATCTAATCAAAATCTCGCCAAATCAGCAACTAAGTAAGAAGATCCTTGTATAATCTCAAGATAGTCTTATGCAAGATTCAATACAGTACGATTGCCTGCAGTTAGCATGGGCATCGTTTTCTCAGGTAAATAGGTAATAAGTCTATAGATTCAGTCTCTGATGCGATATTATACGGAGTTTGTTAGTGTAGATCAGTCTGACAAAAGCTATGCGCGTGTATGTGGATATGTTTTTCTTGGTACTGCTGACTTTGCTGATAGACGATAATGTAATTATTGAAGGAAAATCTTCTGCTTCATGCGCAATAATTGCAGTTATACGTATTTTTCTATCGCTCGTTGAATTAATTGCCACAGAAGTTCGTAGTGTTGATTTTCATTTTAATCAAAAAATAACAAAACTGAGTAAAATCTCTGACAATGTTTATCACTCTTGTCTAGTCTCATAAATTTTTATCGTTTCTTGATTAATTTATCGTCGGATTGGCGCCCCCGTGATTGTTAATTACGTGCTTCGATGATCCTTCAATGCATTTCTATTGGTGCATGCAATCGCTTAACAATTCGACTAAGCTTCACTTTATTTAAGAAAGGCAATTTTGAAACGAGATTTGCGTCGGTGATGCAATTTTTTTTATAATTTATATTTTATATTATATATATTTACCAATATTGAAATACTAAACAAATATTTATGCATTATACCTTTGCATATTAAAATACATGTAATATAATATAATAAACGTACTTTGATGTATAGTGATAAAAATATAGTGATTAAAAATATATATATATATATATATATATATATATATATTTAATTATTTCTATTTGTAAAATTAGAAGACATTTCTCAAAAATACTTTTTTATAAAAAATGTTAAACAATGGGTTTCGTAAATTATTGTACTATTGAAAATCCGTAAAGCATCTATCACAATCATCACTATCATATCACAATCATGTCAATCACAAGTATATGTAATTAAAAGTTTATTAGAATTTTTTAAGATGTCACTGCCAATAAATCGAGACTATATTTTATTTATATTTTCATTATTTTTGATGATTGATTATTGTATGATTATCCACAAGCTTATAATTACATATAATTTTTACATGGTACATCTTAATTGAAAATTTATTATTAGTTATTTTATGAAAGCTTTAGCAGAATTTAATTGAAAAGAATGCTATGAATCACAATGATACCAAGGTTTACTGACCGCTTATGGTAATTTGTGATTTCA